GATAGCGCCCAGTGTTCAAGTCTGTCCAGATCCTCCTGTATCCTAAGCCTGTCTTCTGGAGTGTTGGCTATTCCTGCCAGCTTGGTGTCATCTGCAAATTTGATGAGTTCCCCATCTATCCCCTCATCCAGATCGTTGATGAAGATGTTGAAGAGCACTGGGCCCAGAACAGAGCCCTGGGGCACCCCACTACACACTTTTGTGAGCCTTTCTTGCTTTGCATGTGATTCCTGTGTTTTAAGGGTACAGAGAAGGGATTGGGGGTGCATTCTTACTACACTGTGGAAAGAGCTCAGAAGGGATAGAGGAAGAAGGGCCAACCAGCTAGCTCAGAGCTCTACAAACTTAGCAACTTTATTTTTTTGTAATATATTTTATTGATTTTTTAAAAAAACATAAATCACTTAATAATTGGTGAACAGTGCATTGTCTCGGTTTACATTTGCAAAACAATCACTAACAATTGATTTCTATAATCTATAATCCACATAATGGTTTTAGTTGATTTCCTCTTTTTCCAAAATATCCTCTTTTGCAAAGATTGAATTAATACAATTCTTATTGTTTTGATAGATAACAATTAAATATATATTTTTCCCAATATTCCTACAAATAATAATCACATCAATATAATATTTCTTTTCTATGCAATCATTCTGGTTGCCTTATCATAGATCCTGTTACAGTCCTTATTTTAATTTGTTTCTCCCACCAAATTCTAGATATTCTTACTGGTTAAGATTTTCTCAAAAATTAATTACATTTAAAAATTTAACTCCATTTTTTCCATATGAATCATCTCACACTTTTACATTTCTTAAGGAATAGATAAAACAGTGAAAAAGAAGAAAGGAGAGCAAGAGTAAAGAAACATAAAAAATAACATATTACTTAACATATATATCCCTCCTAAGCTAATATATATTTATTTCCAAAATGTCTTTTCTTTTTAACCATAATTAAAAATACGTTTAATCTTTAAATATTCCATTTAATATATCTAGTCATCTAGTCCTTTAATTCTTATTCAAAACATTTTACCAATTATAATTTTCTTAAATTCAATCACATTTAAATATCTAAAATATTTCCTTTATCTAAGTCATTTCAACTTTTTTATATTACTCATATCAAGAAGGAGAAGAAAAAAGGGGAAAAAGCATACTATATTATTTAGGGAATTCATCCCTCTTAGAATGACATATATATTCCAGATCTTTTCTACTTCTTTAACCATATTCAAACAAATGTTTCTTTTTTAAGTATTCTTGATTTAAGTATTTTCTTGGTTTCCACTTTATAGTCTTTTTCCTTTGCCCGGTGTCTTTCTTAATCAATGTATTTTGCTGAATCAAAAGGTTTTTCCGTATGTTCGTAAATGTTACTGTAGATTTAAAAAGTAAATCAGGTGAAGTGTCTTTGTACAGGGCTTCTGCCTTTCCATGTTTGTTGAAAATCTTTTTTTTTCTTTCCCTCTGCTTCTCTTATCATTTCCTTTCTTTCCAATGTTCCTGACATCTCTACAGTCCATTTTATCCAATCTGTTTTCTTGTCCTCAGATTTATTTTGTAGTCTTAAGGGTTAAGTTGTTTTTTCCAATTCTTGTGAATTTTTTTCCACTAGCATTAAATAGTATTTCCTTGTTTTGTTAAGTTCCATCTTTAAGTCTCTATTCTCAATTCCTTATCCATTTATCTGTTTTATCTGCTCCTTCTCTGTTGTTGTTTTCTGGGGATTTTTTTTTGTTGTAGAGTTAACTTGGAAATAAATTGATTTATATTTTCAAAGTTATTTTGGATTTCTTTGTCATTTAAAGTCACTGTTGTTTGAATTAGTTGCAATATACTATATATCTCCTACTGTGAAGTATTTATATTTTCTTGATATGTTCTTTCTACATGTCTCTGATCCATGAGGCCCAAGAATTTGAGTTTTTCTCTTCCTTTCTTTTCTCTGCAAATAGCTTTAGAGTCCCAATTAGATAGCTATTTATAATCCAAATACTTCAAAAAAGATTTTTTTTCTAAAATTTATAATTATCTCTTTGTCTACATCCCAGATTATTATCTCTTTTTTGTCACAGCTGTTCCTTGCTGTTAAAGCTTTGAAGGTCACAAACACATATTAGCTTTTCCCAGGTTTTGCCAAGTCTTATATTAAAGTCATAGCTGTCATAGTCTTCATCCACCACTAGATGTCAGCAACTATTTGTTTTTCAATTTTTAAAATGAACAATTATCTTTAAAATGAGAGCCTTAACCATTCAACAATTTTAGATTTATCCAGATTTAAGTTTTAAATTTCAGGTTTTATATTTATTTCACTTCCATATATTTTGATCCTCCATAAAAAGATTAATTCGCCACTTCCATTAGTATAAGGGTGGGTCAGAAATCCCCCTCCTTCCCTTTGGAAGGTATTTTGCTTCTTGGGCATTTTTTCCAGGAAATTAAATGTAGAATAGAAAAGAGAAGATCAAATTCCTCACCCAGTTTCAAGCACACTATTCACAGTTGTGCTGGTTAGTACTTTTGGATTTCAGTTGCTAGTAGCTTTGGCTGGTCAATCCATTATGGCCAGCCTTTCTCCTGTCAGGTTAGAAGGTTTTCCCCAAGTCGAACGGAATGGCCGCCGCCATTCCAGAGTTGCTGGAGAACCCTTCTTTTTTGCCGCCTCTCCAGGGCAACTTAGACCCATTTAGAGTCCCCTGGCAGGGTGAAATTAGCTGTGAAAGTGCAGAGAATCTACAAGCCCGCAACCGGTCGCTACCATGTAAAACCAGAAGCAACTTTTAATCTGTGGACTTCAACTCCCAGAATTCCTCAACCAGCCATGATGGCTGAGGAATTCTGGGAGTTGAAGTCCCCAAGCCTTAAAAGTGCCAAGTTTGAAGACCCCTGAGCTAGCTGGTAGTGGTGCATATTAATAAACATGGATAAATTCATCATACATTTGTCATTGCAAAAGGAAAGTGATTCAGCAAAGGAACAGCCACCAAAGAAATTAAAACTGGTACTTTTTTCCTTTTTTTCTACAGTTTGTAATATTTTATTAGATTACAGAATAAAATACAAAAGCAAATAGTAGGACACAGTGGGGAGGAAAAAGGGGGGAAAGTGAGGGGGAGAAGGGGAAAAGAACAGACTTCCTCTGTTGCAGTAGAAGGAACCATTGACATTGAACCTCAGCTTTTTACTTTTCCATAATATTATAAACTAGCCATTTCTATAACAACAAATGAATCTAATCAGTAAAACTTAAAATCCCCCCCCACTTTTTTTTTAGTCATCAAGTTTTTGACACCTTGCTAAGCACTGCTGGTACTCAAATATTGTCATGTCCTAAAAGTGATACAATTTGTGAAAAGGTTGAAATGCCCTGCTCTCGGTAACCTTGACTCCTGATGACTCCATGAACAAAAAGGTGCTTTGCAAGTGAGGGAATACAGATGTGGTTTCCTACTGCCTTCTACTGAAACACTTTTTAAACACTTTAGAAACTTTAAAAAATCCCCTTTCTACTCTAGTATTTAGACATATTTCCTGGCAGTCTCTCATGCAAGTATTAATTGGGCTTGGCCCCCATTAGTTTGGTGCTGTGATTGATTTTGCATTAAGATATTACAGTGTCAGTCATATATGTAATAAATTGCAAATCAGATCAAAGACCTAACCACTTTTTCCTGTGATTCATGACTCAGACATTGTAGCAGTTGCCCTCCTTCAGACTGGCAAGATCATGAAGGAAATGAAGCACCACACATACAGTAAAACCTCTCTCATTTCATGCATCAATTATATGCTCAGGCAGCATCAGTGCAGTTGAGAATTCCCTACAGTTCCTACCTGGCAAGCCAGTAGTATGCCATGAAGGTCTTGAATCCCATTAAAGGAATGTACATGAGACACATACGGAAATTGCAGAATAACATAATAATAAGTTCCTGCCAAAAAAAGGGAGAGAGTAAAAAGTATGAAAAAATGTAGTGTTTGTCAGTTTCCTAATTGCTTTATGCAAATAGGTTGATTTTAAAATACATTATGTTGTATGATGCAAATCACTTAGTTTAACAAAGAGCTGAAAGATCATATTTAAAAGAAAGTTATTGCACTGTAACATAGAACAACAGCAGAACAATTTGTTGGTCAATTCTGCCCTGGAAATTACAAATATTACAAGTGAGAGCATGCAGGAGTCTATGGCCATTGGGCGCAACAGAATGTGCACACCCACTTCATGCCGCCCCCTCCCCAGCTGCCCCTTCCTCATTGCTCTTCCCCTGCGACTTGTCCCCTGTCACTCCTCCCCCCAAAAAACCCTGGGCAATTGGCTGCAGGACAAATTGCCATGGCCAATTCACCATGCAGGACAATTAGCCATGTGTCCCTCAGCAACTTTGCAGAGCAGGTTTAAAAAAAGCTGCAAGTAATAACAACATCAGCATCAAGTAGGGCGGGGAGAGCCACTGCCTGCTCCTCCTTCAGCTGGGTGGGTGGGCTCACCCTCCTCTCCTGCAGCACAGACCCCAGCTCTGCCCATTTGACAAGCCGCATCAGCATTTACAAGCCAGCATCCACCACAGTTCCTGTCCAACTTCCCCCATCCCTTGCCAGGTAGGAACTGTAGAGAATTCTCAACTGCACTGATGCTGCCCCTGGTTTTGAGGCTCCCTTCAATGGGGGATTTCTTGGGAGGGGCTCAGGGGCTCTGTAGCAGTGGTGCTTCCCCCCCCTTGGCAACTTTTAGAGGTTTGGACTTCAATGTGGCCTCAAAAGCCAATGGGGGTGCTAAGGATAGCCCCTCTCGCTCCAAGGAAACCTCCTCAGAAAGAGCATGTGCCACCACCTCACTCTGTTTCTCCAGTTCCTGGACCAGTGTCTCTCTGCAGAAACAGCTGCCATGCAGCAGAATGGCCCAAAGTAGCTGCAAAAACACCCCTGAAGCGCCTGAAGGAGGGGCAGAAGGCTTAAGCGCTGCCTTGTCTCATACCTGTGGCCATACAGGGCAGACACTCCTGCAAAGACGCCATGGGGAGACTTCACTGTGCTTCTTGCTCTGCTTTCCCCCAGAAGCAATCCGGATCCTACAGCACCGGAGCCTGGAGAAGCAGCAGCCACAAGGGCAGGTGGCCCACTCTCAAGATCACTTCCTGCCCCACCCGGCACCCTCTCTGCATGCCACATCCAATGGGAAGGTAGAGGCCCACCTGTTGTTGCATGGATTGTCCTCTGGGACACGTGGCTAATGATCCCATGCGGGCAAATCAGCCACGGTGATTTGTCCTGCTGCCAATTGCCGAAGGAGAGGAGGAAGGGGAGGAGTGATAGGGGAGAAGCGGTGGGGGAGGGGGAGCTGGGGATGGATGCCCACGGTGGGATGGCTGGGATGGGGAAGCTGACGTGAATGGGACAATGGGACAATTGTCTGCGGCAATTGTCCCATTCTGGCATGCAGGACTTAAAATTAATCATAAAATTTTGTGGACCAGTTGATTCCTAAAAGAAAGCCACACTCAGTGGAAAACAAAAGGAAATTTCAGCTCTTGTGGTAGGTTTTCATCCACTTATTCATTTTCATATACCTGTTCCAGGTGCCATCAACACATATATCTTCTCATTGTTGCAAATTTAGGTTTGGGCTCCCTAATAGCTACCNCTGCCCCCTTTGTCCTGGTTTCAGATCTGAGCTGGTTCTGATGGGAGCTGGTTTTGAGGACATAGTAGAAATGTATACAGCTAAAACACTAATGCTATCTTGTGTTTCCAGTGTCTGGAAGAAATTGGAATAGCATCTCTGTCACCAAAGCAATGCCTCATTCTTTTTAATGAAGCTCCCTTTTGGTGAGCAATGATGACGCAGTCACTGTTCCAGTTCCCAGATACCATGTTTCCCCAAAAATAAGATCCAGTCTTTTTTTTTTCACCAAAAAATGCAGTAGGGCTTTTTTTAGGGGAAACATGGTATCAGGATGATCAGCCCACCGGGCATCCCACTCCCCAGCCTGTGCAAAAGAGGTGGCAAATGTGTAGGGACTGATGATATCCAGCAGCAGTCGCAGCCCATCAGCCCCTTGGAATAGCACAGGTAAGTCCAAGTGCAGAGGCAGATGCAGGGTGGGAGGTAGTCGTGAGGATCATGTGCTGGCACCAGCAGCAGGCAGAGGCAAAGGCATGGGGGAGGCAGGTGATCTGAACATGCTATATGGACAGATAACCTGCCTCCTCCCCATGTCTCTGCCTCCCCCTGCTGCCTATGCTGACTCATGAGCCTTCCGCAAGCTTCCCATGAGCCAGGCAAACACACAGCATGACTGGATCACCTGCCTCCCCCCCCCCATGCCTCTAACTCCACCTGCTGCCAGTGCCACCGTGCGAGCCTCCTGTGAGCCAGGCAGCTGCACAGCATGTCCGGATCACCTGCCTTCCCCTGCCTCTGCCTCTGCACTTGGACTTACCTGTGCTGCGCATGCTATGGCTACCGTTGGGCCTCCTGTGCTTGCTGCCTCCTGTGCTGGCTACACCCAAACACACATGGGGTTTTTGGGAGGGGCTTATATTAGGAGCACACTAAAAAAAAACAGGCTAGGACTTATTTTCTGGGTGGCTCTTATTTTTGGGTCCATACTGTCCCATAGCAGAAGGTATTGTGTCTGCATGTCGGTCAAGTACTTACACTCCACTGTTTCTTCTGAACAACATAGCGAAGTATGATTAACTGCCCCAAAGTAACGAATGTTAAGGGTGCCAGTACTGGAAAAAATGAAAGCAAGAAAGCAAATATGTGTGAATTATTCAAAATTATATGCATTTCTTATATGCTTCCTCCTTCCTCTCACATTTTCTACTCACTAATTAATTACTACTACAGATTTCCTCCATCTGCTGGGCCATCCACTCCATGTCATTGCCATACTTCATGTATGGTGGATTAGAACTCCAGTTTTCCGGGAGTTATGGTCTCACATCTGGAGTGATTCATTTGGGAAAAAAACTGAATACTTTTATCAAAACAATTCGACCTTTGATTCCAGATATTCCATTTTTCTCCTAAACTTCCACTGATTAATTGATTTAGCCAATTTATATACCGGTAATTGCTCCTCTGATATGTGAATCTGAGTAGCTTACATAGTAACAATTAAAACCATGTAACCATTCAAGAAACATCAAATATAAATAAAAACAAAAATAAAAAACATGAAAGTCCCCAAATCAGCTGGAGAACTACCACTTAACCTCAGAAACCCTTTTGAAGGCTCTCCACAGGATGGCCAAGGTTGATGGAAGAACTGATGCTGGTGTTTTAAAGTTGAACTAACATTTTGGTTCAAAATGGCAGAAGTACTCACAGCTAAAATATTTGTGCTGGTGCTGGTAAGGCATGTATTTCTTTTTCTTTTTTCCAAGCTGCAGGAGAAACACAGCAGTTTAATGAAGGGCAAAATAAACCACTCTTCAGGATAGACTTCACAGTTCAGCTCAAGAATTGTAAAAAGTGATTGGTTCTCCTCATTAAGGGCAGATTTTGTCCATCTGGACAAAAGTGGATACCAGGGACAGGAAACGCTTCTATGTCTAGTAAATGAAGAGTGCAGTAATATTTGCAGTAATATTTTTGTGCTCCTGGAAGCTCATAAATGTTGTGAATGATATAATAACACCATACAAATCAGAACAACGAAGGTTTTTTTGAAGTGTTTTTGTATTTAGCAGGATAAGTTCAGACTGGGTAGTTTTAGGAAGTTTTTTTTTAATTTGTCTCTTGAAAATCTGCAGCAAATGGCATTGCGCATGTTGCTGAATCTCAGTGGTGGAAAACTGAAGGTTTGGGAAGCTTCAAAAGAAAAAGATAAAGGGGAATCAGGCACCACACACAGCTTACAAGCCCCTGGGCTACCCGTGTCTGATTACAAGTTGTTCAGGCATTCATAATTTTTTGAATATGATTATCTAAACTTTACTCACCTCCACAGAGAGGGATTTCCCTAAGCTGAAGACAAATGGATGCATACTGAGATCAGGATCCTTCTGGAAACAATTGGGCTTGGCATGATGCTGGTTATGTGTGTCAGTCCACCAAGACTTTGGCCCACCCTGTGTAGAAAATGTTGAAATGCATACATACATTCCAGTCTTCATTTCTTCTTTGGAAGAGCTAGTATTACCATGTAAGTTATACCTGATCTAGCTGCTTTCCCCTGCCCACAATGCCCCTGCCCCAATTGCTGGCATATTAGAAAAATATAGAAATACAAAAGTAAGTGAGCAAATAGAGAAACTACGGAACCATCTTTTCCATTTTCAAGGGCATTGGGCTAATGGGACAAAGGTCACAGCATCTTCAGCTAATGATTCCAGCATGACTGATGGTGTAAAAAAGGAACTACATTCAAGAAATTCTGTGATGTGGACTTAGAGACATTAATTATTAATTGCAAACCATTTATTCTCCACAAGAATTTTCCACATTTATTTGCAACGTACATTTTATCCACAAGCTTGCACAAACAATGCATTAAAAACTCTAGCTGACCAGATTCTGTGGCTGAACAGAAATATCCAGATTTACTCCTCATTGTGTTAGGAGATTTCAACAGTGCTAACTTAAACCAAGAGCTACCAAGATGCTTTCAGCATGTCAACTGTCATACTAGAGGCAAGAATACAAACCATTGCTACACAACATTTAAAAGATGCTTATATCGGTCTTTACCATGAGTAGCTGTGGGACACTCTGATCATTGTATGATTCACAATGGAAGCAAAGTTAGAGGTATAGGTTTGGAATGTTTTTGAAGATACCTCGGCAGACTTGGATGAACTCACAGATACTGTAATATCACATGTTAGTTTTCGTGAAGACCTATGTGTGCCAACCAGAAACCTGTGAATACACAGTAACAACAAGCCTTGCTTCACAGCTAAACTCAAGCAACTATGTTGTGCCAAAGAGGAAGCCTATAGGAAAGGAGATAGAATGCTGTACAATCAGGCCAGAAATATATTAACAAGGGAGATCAGTGCAGCAAAAAGAAGCTACTCTGAAAAGCTGAGGAATCAGCTCTCAACAAATGAACCAGCAAATGTGTGGAAAACTCTTTAAAATATCACTGGTTACAGCAAGCAACGTTTCCATGTTGAAGGGAATCGACAACAGGCAAATGCTGACAAGGAAAAGTACTACATGGTTAATTTCTACAAAAGGTTGAGGGAAAGGTGGTTAAAGATAAAACCTAGCAATGGCTTACCAACTGGAACATTAAAAAAAAAAGAAACTGAAGGCTTGACTTTGGCTATTTAAGAGCAAACTATTTGAATTAATGCAATTGAGGCCAGAAGTGAAAAATCATCAAATGATTCACAGTGCAGGTTGTACAAAGAAGCAAAACAAACAGTAGACTATATACTCAGCTCATGCAAGAAGATCACACAAACTGATTGTAAACAAAAACACAACACAGTTGCCAAAATGATTTACTGGAATATCTGTAAAAATTGCCATGTGCCAGTAATGAAAAATTGGTGGCACATAATACAATTGAAAAAGTAGTTGAAAATGAGCAGGTTAAAATATTGTGGAATTTCCAAATTGATAAAGTCTTGGCTCATAATACAGCAGATATAACTGCAATTGAAAAGAAGAAAGCATGGATAATTGATGTGGCAATAACCAGGGAATAGTAGAATAGAAGACAAAGAACTGGAGAAGATCACAAAGTATCAATATTTGAAAATGAAAATCGAAAGATTATGGCATAAACACTACAGTGTCCCAGTGGTTATTGCACATTGGGTGCTATACCAAACATATTCTTGCATGGCACATTGACAACATTTCCATCTGATAATTGCAAAAGGTCACACTGCTTGGATCCACACATATCCAATACATTATGGCATCATCATCATCGTCATCGTCGTCATCATCATTATCATCATAATTGCAATTCCAAAACAACTGGAGCACCACTTGAACACTATTGGCATTGACAAATTTGCCATTAATCAATTGCAAAAGGCGGCCTTACTAGGAACTGCTTCCATCCTGCGATGATATCTGTAATAACATCAAACATCCACATCTGCCTATCCCAGGTCCTTGGTAAGGACTCGATAGGTAGACAAAATGCCAAATCCAGTCTGAACATCTGGCTGACTGTGCGATGATCAATAATAGTAATAGTAATAGTAATAGTAATAGTAATAGTAATAGTAATAGTAATAGTAATAGTAATAGTAATAGTAATAGTAATAGTAATAGTAATAAAGTTGGAAGGGACCTTGGAGGTCATCGAGTCCAACCCCCTGCTCAGGCAGGAAATCCTACATCATTTCGGACAAATGGCTGTCCAGTCTCTTCTTAAAAACTTCTAGTGTTGGAGCATTCATCGCTTCTGGAGGCAGGTTGTTTCACTGGTTAATTGTTCTAACTGTCAGGAAGTTTCTCCTTAGTTCTAGGTTGCTTCTCTCTTTGGTTAGTTTCCATCCGTTCCTTCTTGTCCTGCCTTCAGGCGCCTTGGAGAATAGCTTGACTCCCTCTTCTTTGTGGCAGCTCCTGAGATATTGGAAGACTGCTATCATGCCCCCCTCGTCCTTCTCTTCATTAAACTAGACATACCCAATTCCAGCAACTGTTCCTTATATGTTTTAGCCTCCAGTCCCCTAATCATCTTTGTCCTAGTCCTTGGGAAGAATGTAATGCATTTGAAAACCCACACTAGCTAAAGAACTGGCAGTTGTGACTTCACATTGTTAAGAATAGATAATAATAATAATAATAATAATAATAATAATAATAATAATAATAATAATAATAATAATAATAATAATAATAATAATAATAATAATAATAATATAACAACAACAACAACAACAACAACAATAACAACAACAACAACAATGCACTGGATTCAGATAGGAAGATCAGAAAAATAATAAAAATGAATCATGCCATTCATTCACACAGCAAAGCTGACAGACTCTACCTACCAAGGGCATGGGATATTGCAAGTAGAGTAGATAGTTGAAGAAGAAAAGGCATTGGAAGAATAATTGAAGGACAGTGAAGAAGATGCTATGAAAGTAGTAAACCTTGAAGGCTTACTGAAGACCAGAGAAATCAAACTGGCTTACAAGAAAGACCAAATGAAGAACAGAAAAGAGACAAAGCCAAAGTATTAACTCCAGTACACACACACACACACACACACACACACACACAAACTAGCAAACAAAGCAGACAACAAGCTATGGCAAATCCAAGAGCATGAAAGTTGAAGAAAGAGATAAAGGGGCTAAGTTTGGTTGCACAAGACCAAACCTTAAGAACAAATACATATGAAGAGAGAATTGAGAAGAAAGCAACAGACAGCAAACACTGTCTCTGCAAAAAAAGCTGAAGAAACAGTGGATGACCTAGTTATCTGCAGCAAAAAGACTGTACAGACTGACTACAGAGAACAGCATGACAACACACAACAATGGTGTAATGAAATATCTGCAGGAAATACCATTTGCCTGCAATGGTAAGCAACTGGTTCAACCATGAAACAAAGTAACAGAAAATTAAGAAGCTAAAGTGTTCTAAGGACTTTAGAATTCAAATAGACAAACAGCTGCCGTATAACACCTCAGACTTAACAAGTATCCATTAGAAAGAAAGAAAAAACCTGAACAGTGGACATCACAGTACCTTGAGATAGTAGAACAGAAGAGAAAGAACTGGAAAAAATTACACAATACAAAGACCTGCAAATAAAATTAGAAAGATTGTGGGGAAAGAAAGCAAAGATAGTACCAATAGTACTAGGCACCTTGGGTGCAGTCCCAAAACATCTGAACCACCACTTGAAAACCATTCACAAATGACAAAATCACCATTAACCAATTGCAAAAAGCACCTTTACTTGGAACACCTTACATCCTGTGACAAAATCTTTAACACCATCAAAAACATTCTCCCAGTCCTAAACATCTGGCTGACTGTGTGACCAACTATAATAATAATTTAAACATGTATGTGGCCTACTCCTACAATTCTGGGTGACCAATAACAATTTAACTTCAACAAAGTTAACAAACACACTCTCGGTTTTAAACTCTTACCTTAAGGAATCCCATCACAAAAGTGTGAGCCAGTCTGTTCCATTTAGGCTTCTGGAAGACTGAAATATGCCCAAGATCATGCTGAAAGAAACCATATTGGACCTAGAAAGCAAGAAGAACATGAATTGTATGAGAGTTTTCTTTGGCCAAGTTCTCCATTTTTAAGGACTCATTGCTCATTTTAAGCGATAATATTCTCAGATATTTATCTGAGGAGAATTTAAATTGGGAAGAACAATAGGAGCTATTTTATATAATGACATTAGCAAAGGAAATGTAAGCATCTTCATCCTATTGAAGGAAACCATATTGGTTCTGGAAGGCAAGAAGCTACACCAAGTGTGTATGATTTTCCCAAGCAAGATCTAGATTTCTAAAGACTGGTTGCTTGTTTAAGCACTCATTTGGAAAGTGATTATATTTATAAATGCAATGACAGTTATTTATGTACCAACATTAGCAAAGAAAATTAAACCAAAATGTAAGCACATTCATCCTAAGCATTACTGATTCCTAGAAGGCTAAGAAGAAACAGTTATACTTCCTACTAAGGCCATGTCTTGCAGAATGCTTTGCATTACACTTGAAAGATAACTACATATTGAAATGAAACTTTTAAATATAATGGGAGCAGAGTGGGAGCAATATTCTGTCCAGAGTCATCTTGTACGGGAGATGGGCAGCATAAAATGTAATAAATAAATAAAGTAAAACAAATAAATCCCCCTCAACTCCCATTGTTGTTAGTTAGTTGCGAAGTCATCTCTGACCCCATGGACAACATTCCTCCAGGCCTTTCTATCCTCTACCATCTTCTGAAGTCCATTAAAGCTCACGCCTACTGCTTCAGTGATTCCATCCAGCCACCTCATTCTCTGTCGTCCCCTTCTTCTATTGCCCTCAATCTTTCCCACCATTAGGCTCTTCTCCAGTGAGTCCTTCCTTCTCATTTGGTGGCCAAAGTACTTGAGTTTCAACATCAGGATCTGGCCTTCTAAAGAGCAGTCAGGGTTGATCTTCTCTAGGACTGACCGGTTTGATCGCTTGTAGTCCAGGGGATTTGCAGGACTCTTCTCCAGCACCATAGTTCAAAGGCCTCAATTCTTTTGCTCTCAGCCTTTCTTATGGTCCAACTTTCACAGCCATACATTGCAACTGGGAAAACCATAGCCTTGACTATACGTACTTTTGTTGGCAGGGTGATGTCTCTGCTTTTTAGTATGCTGTCTAGATTTGCCATAGCTTTCCTCTCCAGGAGCAAGTGTCTTTTAATTTCTTGGCTGCAGTCCCCATCTGTGGTGATCTTGGAGCCCAGGAAAATAAAATCTGTCACTACCTCCATTTCTTCCCCATCTATTTGCCAGGAATTGAGAGGGCCAGATGCCGCTGTAATAATTTCAAGCCTCCAGCCATATGAAGTGGATTTTAGCATGAATGTAACCATTTCTAAAGAGTAAGGGCTCCATTTATGATAAATGTTGGGAGAACTGGCCCAACATTGTTGTTAGCCTTTAGAAGCTATAGCAGTGAGGCAGGTTGAAGTTACACAAAAGAACTCCAACAGCTCATCATAATATTTAGGTATGGTGTAGATGTATCACACAAGAGGAAATTTGACAACTCTCTCCCTGGTGGCCCAACAATATTTTTGCCCACAAATTCCATTAACATTGAGATTCCCCTTCTTTAATAAATGGAGCCAATGGGAATTGCAACTGATTCTGGTCTGCCTGATCAGAGATAGAAACTCACTAGTAGATTACTTGTGGAGTGGTGAATATTACTATACTACTAAATTAAGTATGCTGAAGTCTGTTCTACAACCCTGCTATACTCTGCAGCACAAAAAGTTACCTGTGCAACTGTGAATAGTGTTATTCCGATAAGGAAAGGCACCCAAGATTTTCCAAAGTACCAGATAGTGAACCAGGATGCCACATCCAGCAGGAACGCATGCAGAAAGATGATGGCAAAAAAAGGAACACTGGACTTCAAGAGTCCCATCTTCTCCACTTTCGTGCATAATTCATGAAAATCATGTACCAGCATTTCCTATGAAAAATAGTGACACTTAATTATGCCCCCAGCAACTGGTTTCCCAACCATGTTCAATAACTGTTGTATTTTCATCTTCCATGAGATCACAAAAACAATGAAAGTTATACCCAACTGCAGAAAGACTTCCAGTTTTTCAAGGTAGCAACCGATTGCGGGCTTGTGGATTCTCCACACCCTCACAGCTAATTTCGCCCTGCCAGGGGACCCTAAAGGGGTCTAAGTTGCCCCAGAGAGGCGGTGAAGAAAGAAGGGTGCCCCAGCAATTCTGAAACAACAGTGGTCATTCCGTTTGACTTGGTGTAAGCCTTCTAACCCGACAGGAGAAAGGCTGGCCATATTGCATCTACCAGCCCAAGATAATTGCAACCAAAGTCCAAAAGTACTAACCAGCACAACTGTGAACAGCATGTTTGAAACTGGGTGAGGAATTTGATCTTCTCTTTTCTATTCTATATTTAATTTCCTGGAAAAGATCCCCAAGAAGCAAAATACCTCTGAAAGGGAAGGAGTGGGATTTCCACCCCACCCTTATACTAACGGAAGCGGCGAATTAATCTTTTTATGGAGGATCAAAATACATGGAAGTCAAATAAATATAAAACCTGAAATTTAAAACTTAAATTTGGATAAATCTAATATTGTTGAATGGTTAAGACTCTCATTCTAAAGACAATTGTTCATTTTGGAAATTGAAAAACAAATAGATGCTGACACCTAGTGGTGGATGAAGACTATGATAGCTATGACTTTCATATAAGGCTTGGCAAAAGGCTGGGAAAAGCTCATCTGTGTTTGTGACCTTCAAAGCTTTAACAACAAAGGATAGCTGTGACAAAAAAATACAGTAATCTGGGCTGTAGTCAAAGAGAGAATTATAAATTTCAGGGAAAAAAATCTTTTTTGAACTTTTTGTTTTACAAATATCTATTTAACCGGGACTCTAAAGCTATTTGCAGAGAAAAGAAAAGAAGAGAAAAACTCAAATTCCTGGCCATCATGGATCAGAGACATGTAGAAAGAGCATATCAAGAAAACATAAATACTCCACAGTAAGAGATATCTAGTATACTGCAACTAATTCAGACAACAATGACTTTAAACCACAAAGAAATTCAAAATAACTTTGAAAATATAAATCAATCTATTTCCAAGTTAACTTTACAACAAAAAAATTCCCAGAAAACAACAACAGAGAAGGAGCAGATAAAACAGATAAGTGGATACCTTAAAATTAAAATTTTAAATGTAATTAATTTTTGAGAAAAACCTAACCAGTAAGAATATCTAGAATTTGGTGGGAGAAATGAATTAAAATAAGGACTGTAACAGGATCTATGATAAGGCAACCAGAATGATTGAATAGAAAAGAAATATTATATTGATATGATTATTATTTTTAGGAACATTGGGAAAAAATTATATATTTAATTGTCATCTATCAAAACAATAAGAATTGTATTAACTCAATGTTTGCAAAAGAGGAAATTCGGGGAAAAGAGGAAATCAACTAAAATCATTATGTGGATTATGGATTATAGAAATCAATTGTTAGTGATTGTTTTACACAGGGCTTTTTTTGTCATAGAACGCCCAGAACGGAGTTCCAGCACCTTTTCGGAATGGAACCTTGTAGGGTAGGCAAGGCGGGTTGTATGACATGTGTGAGTTCCGGCACCCTTTTTTTTTTTTTTTTTTTACAAAAAAAGCACTGGTTTTACAAATGTAAACCCAGACAACACACTGTTCACCAATTTTTAAGTGATTTATGTTTTTAAAAATCAATAAAATATATTACAAAAAAAAGAAAGTTATACCCAACTGCTTATTTGTATCTGAGTCAATGTCTAAGCAAGTACATGTGAAAAGTACTTTCTGCTGCCTCCTCATCTTCACTTTAGCCAGAACAAACATTGCATAAAGGGTAGTTTAAAGAAATTAGTGAAGGTGCATTAATTATCACAAGGTGGTGAGGCTCACTGCAGTTTATCAACATATGTCAAGCTGCTCTGTTTAAGAAAGAACATACCAAGGGAAGTTTTAGCTCATATTTAAACTGTGTAATAAACATCTATTCTTACAACAAACTAGTCATTCTTGAATGCTATACATTCTCAGACTATGGTTTGACTTGTGAAAGTGTAAAATGATTTTTTTTACTCCTAAACAAGCATGCAAAACCATATTTAACACATACATATGCATATAGCTATACATATGCTTGTAAATGCACTTTCAGATTTAAATTCCTTGTGGGTTCCACTTGATTAGACAAGTAAAGTATAAACTGAGTAAATAGATACAACAATGAATAAGTCTTAAATGTTTAAAACAATGAAGTTTCTGATCCTACAAAGAAAATCCTGCATCTAAGGTCACCATTGCCCTGATGTGCGTTGACTTACTTGATGTAAAAATGGGCAAATTTTCAGATCTATCAAGATGCATCAATTGTAATCAATCAGCTGCTAAATTAAAAGCTAACAGGTCACACAGGGCTACTATTTATTTATTTATTTCCCCTCCATAAATTCCAGCATCTTCAAAATACTGCTAAATACTGTACATGTTCATCCTAGGAGTTTGTATTCAGTGCCAGAACTAGAGTTTGTGTTAACCATATTTTCTTTTATATGCACATGCTAATTTTAGAGAGGTGTCTTCATTTAAATTGTTTAATTTAGCAGAAGACAAATGGCTTGTTGTCATTCAGGAAGAAATTAGTACTGCAAAAGGTAGAACTCTAAACAAATCACCAAGGGAACTTTCAATGCAACTTCATTTAGATTATGTTTTGTCTAACCCATGCTCTAATTGTAATACAGGATTTTGCCATTTTGTGCATGGATTTTATTCTCTTTCAGACACAGATACACATGGACACACTTTGAGGTCTAAAGATAATGCTGGGAAATACTCACATTTTCGGTGGGCTCACAGCTAGGTTGATCCGGTGTTAGCTCTCCAATTAACAGGGAATTCAAGTATTTCTTTATCAGATCCTTATCCTTGTGGAAAACTGTAAAGGCAGCCTAAGAAATTCAGAAAGAAAGGTGTATGAAGGAAAAAGTATTGATTTACGACATTTGCATAGTCACCCATCTTAAAACCAACTCTTGGGTAGGTGGCTTGGAGTTTTTTGTGAAAAGATGAAATATCCTGAGGGTGATTTTCTCCAACAAGCTTTAGAGGAAACCAGCTCCACAACAATGGCTCATTTTGAGGGCTGAGACAATCTTATTTTGGTTTATCTGATGGAAGAGCAGAGCAGGACTTTCCTCCCTTGCAATGCTGGGCGCTTGAGATGATCCGGTTCTCTCCTGGTTTTGCCATGATTCACCGTGCCTCTCCAAATGGCCACTGGAAAGATCTTGCTCAACATCTGCTACACTCTAGCAATAGTAGAGTCTGAATTGGGTTACCTTATCAGTAAGTCTAATCTTAATCCTTCTGATAATGAAAATAATGTCTAAGCCTTTTCATCAAGCCCTTTCCTTATCTGTTTTCCCTCTGCTGGGTTCTCACAAGCCACTTTCCTCTCCATTGGTACATACATAGCTCTTCCCCACAGCACACAACCATGGTTATAGCTATTGTGAAAAGCCACCTGGGTGTAAATGGCTGCCTTGTTCTCCAAGCAAGATAGGCAGGGAGATGGGGAGGAAGAACAGGGGTGTATCAAGGGAGCACAGTCTAAGAGCAGGTCTGAATTGGCATTCTATGTGAAACATCTTTTCCATTGGATCCACTCGGTACTACAAAATTGCCAGGTGACACAGCCATCACCTTGAGCTTCTTTACCATGTGTCAAAGCACTGAGCTGTCCAAGCGAGAACAACTACAGGTAGCCCTTGAAGGACAACCACAATTGGGGCCAGAATTTATGTTGCGAAGCAAAATGGCTAAGTGAGTTATGTCCAGTTTTATGACTTTTTTGGGAACAGTTGCTAAGCAAATAACTTCAGTTTAAGTGAATCACATGGTCATTAAGCAAATCCAAATTCCCCCATTGACTTTGCTTGTTGAAAGCCAGCTGGGAAGGTTGCAAATGGTGATCCCGTGACCTCAGGATGCTGTGACCATCGTTAATGCATGCCAATTTAGTACGTGTACTGCTGAAGCGAGCACATAAATATATGCCAGTTACCAAGCACCCAAATGTTGGTCATGTGACCATGGGGATGCTGCATTAATCATAAATATGAGGACTGATTGTAAGTCACTGTTTTCAGGACCATTGTAAACAATTAGTTGTAAGTCTAGGACTACCTGTATTCTGTAATGTCAGAAATTCCTTATGGCTTCAGACAAGGTGGACACTTTCCCTCTCATTCTGCTATTAAAGACACAACCTGGAGTGTGTTCGTGCAAAGCAAGTGCTTTGTGCATCCTTCAGGTCATTCCAAGGTCCTCTTTCTCCTCAGCAAGGACTCACCGTGGCATCTTGTCCAGAATAGTGTCTGATGAGATGAGGCCCACCTGGATGCTGCAAATAGAACTGACTGACATCATAGACTTTTCGGTTGATTACCAGCCATCTCTCTTCCTTCAAGCCTCCATTGCCTGTGCGGAGCCCCACCTCCTCCCAGGTGAAGAGCCGTGGGACCCCTGACTCAATCTCTGGCTTCCCTGCACTGGCTCCTGATTGAGGGGGCATCCTGGCTGGAAGCACTGAGGGATGCTGTTCCACTAACTCTTGAGCTATGCTGTTTATCCTGTGGAAAGATAAGGCAACTCTTAATTCTATTAGATGTTGCAGTCCACTTTATATAGACTCCAGCAACCACCCACATTTCCTTTATTTTTCTATTGCTCCAGACATACTTTTGCTCCTCCCTCCCATTGCATTTCTCCATGATGATATAAGAGTCTTTTCCTATGCACAACATGTACTTAAATTAGGATTTGAAACAGGATAAGCAAGCATATTTTTCAGCAGAGTTTTTAAATAAACAGTACAATATATCGGTATATAATTTTTTTGTTCTTGTTTCTATATATTGGGTAAGAGAGCCACAATAGCATTCCACAGAAAGCACATCATCAAGAACAGTATAATTACAACAGCTAAAAACTAATACAAAAAAATAGAATAAAAAGAAAGTAGAAGATGCAGAAAAAAATGAAACAGAAAGAAATAGAAAAGAAAGGTAAAAATATAATAAAGCAAAAGAAAGGCGATACATAAAGTGACTTCCCACCTTCATCAAAAATATAAACAATTTTAGTAATTTATCTTCTTTTAAGATACAATAAATCTTCCCATATCCCATCTCTTTTCTATAAACAAATCCATAAAGTACCATTATTTCAGTCCTGATATCAGCAAAAGTCTATTAAGAGTTACCAGAGAGTACATCGTATCTATTTTAACTTTGATCAAATAAACCAACTTTATATTTTTCTTGTTACTTCTAACAATCTTAATGCCAGGCAAAAAGATCAGGTCTACACATGAAGGTCTAGTTAAACTGATTTATTGCTACTGATGCCTTTGTACGGGAATATTTTCAACTGACAGCACCTGCTTGGAGTTAGATAAAAGTTAACAGAATTCAAGCAAGGTCTTTTATAGATGGCATTTAGATCCCCAAAAACTGTCTTGCATGTATCCAAATCTGCAGCCAAAATGTTGGAGATGTGGTAACTTAGATGCAACTTATTATCATATTTGGTGAAAATGTAGGGATGTAAAGGCTTTCTGGATTAAGATTTGGTGGAATATCCAACAGATTTTTAAGAAAAAGATAAAATTTACACCGCAATTATTTTTATTGGGCATTATGGAAAATTTGGACCTTAACGAAATGAATTTGATGCTGTATTGTATAACAGCAGCAAGGTTACTGGTTGCTCAAAATTGGAAGAAGGAGGCATTACCGACTATGGATGATTGGAGATTGAAGGTGTCATATTTTGCAGAAATGGCTAAAATTTCCGCATATTTGAAGGATCAATTTCAAGAAAAATTCATTCTGGTATGGAGAAGATGGATAGATTATATTCAGACAAAGTATGAAATGAATAATTATCATATAGCTTTTGATTAAACTCTCTTTTCTTTTTTTATTATTTCTATATACTTAACATAATTTATATATATATATATATATATATATATATATATATATATATATATATATATATATATATATATATATATATATATATATATATATATATATATATATATATATATATATATAT